GACGACGCCGAAGGCCCCGTAACCGATGGGTCGGTCCGGCTGGACGGGATCCTGGGCGGGCGGCGGGGGCGGGGGTGCGGGCGCCGCGGGATGATAATACGTGGGGGGCGCCGCCTGGGCCGCGGCCGCGGCTGCGGCGGCAGCGGCGAGGACCGCCTGGCCCGGATGGGCCCCGGCGGCGGCGGCGGCGCCGCCACCGCCGGTCGCCCCGGCCCCGCCGCCCTGCATCAGCGGTATGGACACGCTCATGGACACCCGCGAGTGCCGGCTGGGCCCGACCACTGCCATCAAAGCACTTGCCGGCCCGGCCACCCCCTCCCCCACTTCACGGCCCCCTCGCCCCCTCGACGAAGCGAGCCACCGTTGATTGTTTGGTTACGAATCGCGATCTTCTCACGCGATCGGCATAATTTCTTTTTTTTTTTTTTTTTTTTTTCGATTTTTTCTTAGTCTCCCTCGAAGGGGAATATCCTTGATCGTCGGTTGCGCTCCTTTTTTTTTTTTTTTTTTTCTCACTCTCTGTTGACGTCCTGTCACGAATCAGCTGAGCGGAGGAGGTAAATGCGCGACGTGTCTCTCCTTTTTTTTCTCCTCGACGAGGACACCCTTATTATGTCTCTACGTTCGACGAACCCTACGGCGCGCGTGCCCTCGATTTAATATACACGTAATATATATTTATTTATATATATATATATATATATATATCCCTTCGTCACGTCCCGATATCACGAACGCGAGAGCGAACGGCGCTTAGCGACACTTAGGTTAGGTTTGACGCATGCATGCATGCATGCACGCACGTACGCAAGTACGCATACGCACTCTCACACACACACACACGTAGTATACACATCCACCGTATCACTGTACGTGCATATTCCCAATCACGGCCCGCCCCACCAAACTCTTCTCCGACTCGTCTCGTCGCGCGTCCGTCAATTGCACTCGGCGGCGGGCCTCATAACAGCGTTACGGGGGTTGCTCCCCCGGGGAGGATGCGGGATCGGAGGTGGGAGAAATGTGTCGGAGAGCTACGCGCGCCCTTGGTAGACGACACGCTGCGAGGAAAGAAACGTGGAGCCCACGATCACCTCGACGCCTCCGTCGACGAGTCCACCGCTATGTACGGGGCGATAATTTTTCTCTCTCTCTCTCTCTCTCGATGTGTCGCGCACGCACGCACACGCGGAAAAGAAGCACCACAAAAGCACCAGGAAACACGCGAGGGAAAATACTCGTTCTCACCGAGTCGACGACACGCGCGAACACGCCGCGGGACCAACTGACAGATAGACGAGAGACGGATAAAAGAGAGATCGAGGGTGGAAGAAAGAGAGAGAAAAAGAGAGAGAGAGAGAGACACACATACACACAATAGACAGAGAGAGAGGGAGGGGAAAAAAAAAGGAGAGTCTTTCGCGTAGCCGCGACGGGAGATCGAGCCGCGCTCCGCCGACGATGCGCACGTCTGCCCGCAGTCAAGGCTTGCTGGCCACTGATGACCGTCAGGCCGCGCCGCTCTACGTCACCGCGTCGGGCACAAAGGCGGTCACGTGACCCTGCGCGGGAGCCCGCCGCGCAGGGTCGCGTTCCGAAATTCGATTCCTCGAGTATACCTAGGACTATTTTATCGACCAATCGGGACGAAGGACTTTTTTGTCCCTTGTCCCGATTGGTCGATCGTGTACTTACTTTGCTCCGAAAAGGAAATTTTAAAACGCACCTTCCGCAGTTCCTCACTCGCGTTTTCAATCCTTGATTGTATTATTTCTTTCGTGCTTGTTTGATATTTCAAACGAGGCGAGCAACGAATCGGAAAAGAGAGTTTTCTTTTTTGTATTTTTATCTAAGTTATAATTGCGTGTATTTTTACTGCGAATCTCTCCTTTTATTGTTATTATTCTAAGAACACATGCGCGGAATATGCAAATGTTGTTTCGCGCTGAAACTGGATCATGTTGGAGTAACGTAGGAATGTGATCGCTTTTGCAATTATTTGTTGACTGATTCACAATACGAATGAAATCACAATGCAGGATTTGCATTTTTTTCTGGTCTTTTCTTATTGCAATCATGTATTGAATATTATAACAAGTTAGAACAAGATAATTTTTTCCTTATACACAGAGAATTTTCTCGTAGAATTTACCCTGAAAAATCATAATAATCATAAGACAATATAATATTGGAAGAATCTTGTAAGTTTTTCTGATTAATATTTACCACAATAAAAATATTAATATTTGTACATAGTAAAATTAATCGAACATATATTTTCTATCTTGTTGTGCTAAATATTAATAAGAGACACTATATTATAAAATTCTGTTAATTACCATATTATCTTACGATTTACATGATTTTCAAGATAAATTCTAAAAGAAAATTCGGAAATAAATTCATACAATTGTATAATTTATTAATAAAATGTAATATTCACAACTATTCTCTTTTATCTCGAATGCATTTTAAGCGTCGTGCTAAATGAGATACTTAATCTAATAAATAATAAAATAGAATTCTTTTCTATTTTATCAAATATAGTTGATTTTTTGTTAATTAAAAAATATCGTGCTCAATAGTTGTGTTTAAAAAAAATTTTATATTTTAGTATTCAAATTTCGCCAAATTTTTTAATAAAAATGAGGAAAAGGTTATATAATAAAGGAATGCAATATCAACGCAAAAAACACAAACAGTTTTTGCGACGTGTGTATATATTTTCACGGTTTTGTCAATCTTCATCGTACGAAATTAGCGGATCTTTCTCTGTCTCTTTCTCGTCTGTATACAACATCTCCTTTTTTTTACTTATACAGAATCTTAATAATTTACCATCGATTATAAACGAACGTGTGCAACGGCCGTTGCATAATCGAAGCCTTTGCAATTGTAAGAGAAACTCACGTCACGGCTATCATCATATCGCTTTCTTTTTAAGCGAAAACTTCAAAACCTCATAAACTCACGTACGTTTATTGCGAGACTGATTTGTCTTACAATCGCAAATTTTCCGCTCGAATACGTCAATCTTACGCTTCTATACTTACACATTAGTAGCCGTTCCTTAAACTTATTGTTCCTATAAACGAGTATATCCAAGAACCAGAGTATTTCGCTCTGGTTTAATAAATATACGCGACCGCCAATTCTGTGCCCATACAAAATCTCTAGAACTGAATATAATAATCATTAGTATATTATACTACACAATGATATTTATCGCGTTATATATCGAGATATAAATATGACATAAATATATAATAAGGCCTAATCAAATTATATATATAGTCCTTCGAAAGTAATAAATATTATACATAATTATAACAAGACTAAAATTACAATATTATATGTATATATTGCACATTCGATCAAAGTCAATAATTTTAGGATTTTCTGCTACGATAGAATAAAAATCAAACTTCACACAAAATTAAATTTCACACAATTTAATTCTCGAAAAATAATGATTCAACATTTTTTCAATTTTTTTTCTTTTTTTAAATTTGAGTCTCGATTGTGTGAGCGCAGATTTGCGGGCTTATAACACGCGCCGAATCACGTAGGAAAATATGCAAAGATTACATCTCGAATCGTTCGCTTTTATCTTTGGTCTATCATCGAATTCTTCCGTCACTCTCGCATTATCTATTAGAAGAACACTCTCTCTTTTTTTATCTCTACGTCTTCCGAAAGACATGAGAAAATAATGTTACATTATTAGACTTCGTTTTTCATCCTTTTCATGCAGGATATTGTAGGTTTTTTGTGCCCTCTTCTTTTTTTGATATTTATAAACATCTGCAAAAATTTTGCAGCGTGCGTTAATGACGAATTCTGGATATTAAATATCAAAAATTTATGTCGTGACCAAAAATCTATAATAAAATGTGCCAAGTTATTTTAAACGTTATTGAACAAGATAAAATTGTGAAACTAACCGATTTCATTATTGGAGCTTCTGTCAGATAACAATTGTTACAGTAAATATATAAAAATGCAATAAGATAATAATAAGATTCGAAGTCGTAAATGTATATACATTATTTATGAAGTCATAAATTTTATTCGTTAAGTTTACAATTCTGAAGTTCATTCAAACTGTCCTAAATTAAATTCTAACGTTTAATTTTTTTATTAATTTTTTTTTAATTTATCAAAACGATAACATTTAAAAGGTACAGAAGATAATAGAAGAAATATTATTTCAATATTTTAAAAAAACATACATTTATCTCTTTGATCTCTTAATATGAACATTCGAAGAATTCTTTTTTTTTCCTTTCCAACCTCTATTCCGCGCAAAGTACGATGAGATTTATAATCTCTTTCGAGCGGAATAAATTCCAGGATTTTTTATTCGCGAGCGCCCGTGGGACTTGCACTTTTAATTTAAATCGTGCTTTAAATTGTGCCCGTGGGACTTGCACTTTTAATTTAAATCGTGCTTTAAATTGTGATTTGATGGCACGCCGCGTCAAATAGTCTGTACAAAAATCTTGAGAAAATAGCTTTTAAAATAGATGGCGGTCTCCTTTACCCGACTTATTTTTTTTTTCATATTGGAAAAAACTTGTAGAAATTTGCAAATCGCTCTTTTTGATTGCTTACGGTCACTCGTTTCGCACATACGTTGATTCGTCGACAGGATAATTCCCCTAGCTCAGGAAAATTTCCTTTATTAATATAGGAGTGGCAAACTTTTTATATAAATGTACCATACATCTCGAAATATGCATATTAAATTGGATCAATAAGCAGAAGAAACAAGTTTTTTGACATTTTTGTAGATATAAAAAATAATTGTTCACACAAATGTAGACTGAGATGCATAATATACTTATGTCATTAAGGAAATTTTTACTGAGAAAGTCACAACTTTCCTTAATTGACAAAAAATTGTCGTTTAAAAATAATACATGACAGCCTTTATATCTTTTTTAATTATAAATTTAAACACTCGCAAACGTGCTCACGTTCGCGATTCAGAACTCATATTTAGATAAAGTAATTTTTTATTTTGTGAATAGCTTTCTATAAATCTCTATTAGAAATAAGAAGTAACACTAAATGATTAATAATTTAATATGCGCTTTATAATTTTATAAAAGGTATCACATATTTTCGAAATCACAATTGTGTGTAGATAAGCTTTTCTTTTTCTACTTACTGGTTCAATTTTTGAGATTTAATTAAATACCCACTAATCAGTGGAATAATTCGTGATAAATTTCCTTAATGTGGAAACTTATAAAAATAAATTTAAAAATGTCCGTCACTCCTGATCTTAATGTAATGATGATCAACGTTTCTATCCATTAACAAGCGCACGATTATCTCAGCGATGATTAAGCTCATGAGGTACGGTGTATTTCGCATCGGTAATGTGTGCCTATGTAAATGTACCGCGAAAACGAACATCGTGACTATAAATTTTTAAATTATTTTCTAAAATACTTAGCTTTCATCGTACCAAGAAACTCATTTAAATATATGTATACGTATGCGCTTAATAGTTATCTCTCGTTATTATGTATATTCTTATATTGTACATTTTCTCACGTTCACAAAATTCTATCCGTATCTATTTCCAAACAACGCAATGTCGTCTTTGGATTGCGATGCATTTTAATGATTTTTCTTAAACTTAGCATCGTCCGTGAAAATCAATATTCAAACCGACGACACGCGTTCAATCGGTCTGTAAATTATGCACTAAATAGGGATAAGGGAGCAGTTTAGACACCACTCGACATCACTTTATACAGAATCGGCTTTTTTTGAGGTATCAGTCGTATCAGCCAACTTTTCGGACCTTGTGAAATCTCATGCGTGTCCGATCAAAACTCACCTCGTTTCAAAAATACGCACATATTTTGATAAATTCGTTCGTCACTATTTCACATCTCAAGATTGAAGTTACACAACTGGTAGGATTTAGGAGAGTTCGAAACCGGTGTTGCTGGTGACGGCGTAGCGCAGTTTCTCTCGTAGTGTGCTCTTTTTTTGATAATTTGGCAGTTTGAGCAGGTTGAAACACGTGGACGAGGTGGGTAATCGGTTCTGTGGGTCCTTCTTACGAATCGTGAAGAAACCTCTGATCACGCTGCCTGGTTCGTGAAATTAAAAAAAAATTAAATCCATGAAGAGAAATAATCGAGATGTAATCGAGAAAACTGGAGACTGACAATTTTTATAATTATTTATAATATTAATTATAAAATTGCAGTCTTGATCACTCATTTTTATCAGAGCTGATAATTACAAAAATCTCTATATAAAATCAAGAATTCAAGAGACGAAGATCTTTCCAGTTTCTCGATTTTATATATGGTTGCTTATGAAAAAATTAATTTTTTTTCTAAATTATTTGTAACAATTGTACCAATTGTGTCGCCGGTATCCTCATCGTCACAGACTTCCACGCATCGTATGGAGAAAGGTGGCTCTAAATGGGCGAAACCCAGCAAAGGTGACTTTGAGCAACTCGTCACGAACTATCATATAAAAATAATTATTATTAGAAAAAAAATTATTGGTGCAAAATTAAGATATTATACAAAAGTCACATCTAAAAAATCATTTAAATTATTAATTAGAGAAACTGTTAGTTGTATATTTAGTATTGTGCTCGAGGAACCTTTAAAAACAAGCCTCTTTCTTCTTCTGTAAAATCCTTCTCCAGGATGTCCCACAGCCAGCATACCACTCGATGACTGTCGTGAAATCCGCCGTAATATTGCGTATGTTTTCGTAAATCTCGCAGATCCAAAGGAACATTATCCCCCGAAATTAATCTCTGTAACTGTTAAAGACACGATTAATCAATTGAGTGTATAATGACAAATAATAATATATGTTTGTCGATTTCTTCAGGACATCTTTTATTTCTCTTGCAATGTAGAACTTAAATTTTAATCAATCAAATAGTCATTTAAATAATGTAAGTAATTATTTAAAATTAGACACGTTCAACTATTCGATTTACATTGAAATTAATGAGTGCACTTAGAGTTGAATTTTCTCTGCTTAATTTCGACAACGCAATTATATTGTGTAAATGAATGAAATTGTACTTTCAGATCCTCACCTCGGGCGTCGAGAACAACGACAGCCACTCGGGATTAATGATCGAGCGGAATCCTTTGATGAAGGCGGTCGTTTGCTCCTTGATCTGATGATACATTCTGTAATGCGCCATGTGATGGATGTACTGAATCTTGTTCTGATTAGTCACGGCGGTGGTGCGTCCGCCAGGGATCAACTCGTGCGTGACCAGTTTGCCGAGCACGTCCTCATCGAGCGAGAACGTCAACTCTAGCTGCCGGATATCGCCCTTGTAATGCTTCACCAAGGTCAGACTGCGGTAGAGATCGCGATCCAACGAGGCGAGCTCGTCGAGCCAGCTGTACAACGCGCCGCCCGTTTGTCCGGAAAATTGCGAGACGAAAAATGACGCGAAAGGCACATCCACGACGATGCCCTAAAAAAAAAACCGATCCATCGAAGAAAGTAGTTTGAAATAATTTTTTTCCTTTTTTTCTTTCTCTGACACGCTCAACATTTAACAAAATTATAAATACATAATAGATATCTCTAAATAACGAATAATTAAGATAAATTATAAATGTGTTACATTCTAATCATTGTCTATATTCATTATTAATATTTTATAATAAAAATAAGGAAAAAAAGATATACTTATGATCAATCTAGTCGATTATAGATACAATAGAGAAATATAATTTACCTCGTAAACCGCTTTGCCAAGCATCCGCCCAACGAACTCGAAGAGTTGCAAGTGATTGTCTTGCATGAAAGACGTGGGTGATGGATAAAGTCGGTTCTCGCTGGTAGCTTTGAACAAGTTCAAGGACGGATCAAACACTCGCTTTATTGTCTCTTCCAGGAACTCCTTGAAAACACCGTCCTGATCAATGCCGGCCTCAGCCAGACCTTGCTCGTTCACGAAACGCACCCTAATCACGCCTTTCAACGCTTGCGATGGCAACATGGCTAATTGTCTGTATCCATCCTCTACTATACGTGTTCTGCAATATAAAACAATATATCAAGTAAGTAATAATTATATGTATGGTATATATTATGTGTGCAAGGAATCGTTGCTACAGAGAAAAGGATTTTTTTTGTAAGCATACAATTTTCAACCAAAGACGAAAGTAAAAATTCTTTTGAAATTCTTTAAATATTTGAAAATGTTTTTACATCGTAAAGACGTATCAAAAGACCTGTGTACGACAATTAACGTGGTCGGTGGACTGTTACAAGCACTCTCGGTCAAACCCATCACCGCTTTCTCATCGGCTATATGCTTGCGAAATAATACAACCCGCTCGGAATGGGGGATAACATGGGGCATCTTTGAGAGCAAAAGTGCCGCGCCGCGACGACCCTTTTCCAAATCGGCCAAGAAACCGGACACTCGCACTTCCTATTTCAAGAAAACAAAACAATGCAATTATATTTCTTTTTCGTCATTCTTTTCGAAATAATATATGTGACAGGAAAATTATTTATATTTTAAGTAAGCTAAGATACTTAACTTGGCTAACCAGTGACCTTCCGGGCAGAATGTTCTACGACAATCGCGTCGATAAATCGCCATCAGGAGAATGTAAAGCGAGATGAACAGGGGATTGCTAGACACTGATTTCACGTCTGTAACATCAAAAATCAATTATATCAATTATAATAACTAAATTTGAATAAGAAAGAAAAAAACATCCGGGCATATAATCTAATTCTTTTTTCTATTTCTTGAATTAAAAAATTCACGAAAATGTCGACTCGCTGATTTAGAAATAATAGAAATCTTACCGAATAAATTAGTGAGAACTGCTTTGTACAAGAATTGATTTAAAAAGTACGACATGGTGATAAAGTCCGTGAGCTTGAAGGGATCTTGCTGCTCGTACATCTCCATGTCATCGAGAATGCTGAAATCGAAGAAATCGAAAGAATAACGTTTTCTATAAGTTTCATTGTCGCAATTCACTTACGTAACGTAATGCGTCATACAATCGGCGAACAATATCAACATCTGGAATTCGGGCGCCGTGCACTTAGTATTGGCAGCCAGGAGGTCTAGAAATGCCTTGAGTCCACAGTGCGGTCCCAATGTAGTCAAAATAACCACATGTGGTAGAGAATTTTGCCTTGGTAGCAGAGTCCTGTTTTCACGCACATATACATCATCAGTCAAAATGTAATTCGCAAATGCAATTGTATGCAATTGATTTATAACATATACCGGTTAGTATTTCAATTTTCATTTGCGTGAGCGTGTGCAACGCAGTTTGATACAACGAACAGATCAAGGCTATCTTAGTGGCGTCCGGACTGCCTAGCTTCCTATAATTTTTAGTACTGTTGTTTCTGTTGGTACGAGCCTCCAGGAATGCACGTCGAAAGATATTTGCGCCCAGGGAAGAGGTACTTTGCTGCTCTACCGGAGGCGGCACCTCTTTCTCGACGAATTCAGTCAGTGGCTGTTCTGAAGAGAGAGAGAGAGAGAGTAAAAAATAGATAGAGAACAAATATAAATAAAAAATCACATATATACATTAGATAATATAATAATATTTATGTAATGCAATAATTGTAGTACAGAGATCAAATAGATAAATATGTTACATGCTGTATGAAATAATATAATTAATAATTTCTGTTCATTCGAATCCTGCATATGAATTTAAATAATTGTAATGAAAATACTGAAGCTCCGAAATTAATAACTCACCGATTAAATGTGTAACGATCCTGCCGGTCCAGAGACAGGCCAGTTGTAATTTTACTGAAGGAGTCGCGTCCTGCAACGAGGTATCGATCGTCTGTGCAAACCAGCCTAATACAGGATGCCAGTGTGTCAAATTACTTCGTTTCGCGACTACGTATTGTTGACACGCTTCCAACATCCTCGTCACAACAAACTGTAAAAGATTCGCAGAATATATCATAAATCGAAATATCGATATAATACGATGCATAATGTTAAAAGAACTTACCGTAAAAGAAGGAAAGCAGAGCTCTCTCAGTACCTCTTCCCTTTCGATGTTCGCCAACTGTATCAAATTAGCGAGTAAACAAAGCGCATAACTACCTTCTAGAGCGTTAAAACGATCCTTAAATTCTGTTCGGAATTTAGCAATTCTAAACTTCTCGCAAACAGATTGTTTGCTATAAACGATGAAATGCACTATAAAAACATAATTAAAAACTTTAGAAACTTAGATTTAAAAACATAATAATAATATATAAATATTTTTCTTTCTCTTCTACCTCTGGTGATAAAACATTCAAGTGATAGACCAGAGCTGGCACGCTGAAGATGTTAATTAGAAACAGGGACACCAGTTTGTCAGACATCTGCGAAGAGATTAGTGGTCTCAGTGTCAAAGTGACTGCTGCTGAAAGCGTAACTGGTTTCAGGGCGATTTTTGCTCTACCCAGTCCCTTCATTAACAAAGCCTGAAATATGAAGAAATATGAAATAATTTGAAATTGTTAAATGAACACTCAAACTGTCAGAAAGCCTTCTCTTATTTCTTTGATGTCATTACTGTTATCATTACCTGCATAGTGCCATAAAATCCATTGTTAACTAAATGTCCCATTATGTTTGCACACAGCTGACTCATGCCGGTCTTCAACTGCTCCATGCCCTTCACCTTCTGTATCGCCCACGTTCCTGGTGATGTGAAACTCACCAGAGTATGCAGTCGCAGCAAGATAGATTTGTGATCTGACACTCTCTCCGGCTTCAGACTGTCCAAGCCAGATAGGCAGTGGTATAGAACTGTCTTCATTTGAGATATCCATGATATGTAGTGATCTTTGTTGAATGCTACTCCGACGTAGGATATCTTTAGAGATTCGGAATCGAGCGTCAACACAAGGTATCTAAAAGATTGTTTTCATTAAGTCATACTCTAAATTTAGAAACATAAGAATAATTGCATTATATATTATACACTCACCTACATACTCTATCTATTCTCTCTTGATCCCTTTCTTTCTTATAAATTAGCAAAAATCTAGAAATAATTCTGTACACTTCAAGAGCAGGTATTAACTCCACTGTTGTGCTGTCAGCACTGGCATCATCAAGAAAATGATTATCAAATTCTTCTCTAGAAATCAAATAAGCAATGTGATAATTGTGTAAATTTTACACAGAATATTTTATATCGATTTATTTTTCACACTAACTGTATAACTCAATATTTATTGAAATAGCAAGTAAAAAAAATGTCATATATATATATATATATATATATTATATTAATAGAATATTACTGTAATATATAAAAATTCCAAAGTTAAGATAAACCTTCGTCTGGAATTTTACTAATCTAATTTTATCAACAATATCTATTTACGTCGCACAAAGATAACTACACAATTTTACGTAGTATTTCTGCACAATATATTCTATATATTATTAATCATACTTTATATAATATTAATCAAGTTTATATAATAATCTATACGATACAATTTTTGCAATAAACATATTATATAAACTTATTTATCAATTGATATATATATATATATATATATATATATATATTTATTAAAAAACTCTGATAAATCTTTAACAAATATAAAATAAAATGAAAATTATATAATTAACAAAACTTCTTTCCCTCTTAATGACATTTGCAGAGAAAATCCAATATACATAATTCTTTAATACGTGTAATTCTTTCTGAAACTTTCTCTACATAGTAATTAACATTTATTTATCTTTTATTATGAATTCTGTTAATCAGACTAATTGTCAACAATCTTTGTTTACACCTAAAGATGACACAAGCTTTCTCTTTCTCTTTTTTTAAATCCAATTCCTTCTAAAACATCCCTACGTAGTATACTAATTCAATTTAATCCTTTATTTAAGCCTTTGTTTGGAATTCTGTTAATCAGACTGATTGTACCTAGAGGTACATAAGCTCTCTTTTGTATATAAACACTGGCTTATACACACACACACATTCATTCAGTCGCACACACATACACTTATTATTGACAGCTTGCGAAAAGCACTTTGTATAGAAAAATCCCATGTTTATTTCCGTCTGGTGCTTACAGAATCCGTTTGGTGAATCGGACGCGTGCCAGCCAACCTCGAACGTGGGCCTGGATCAGAGTCGCCGCGGCCTCCCTACGCTTCTCGTGGGCTCGATCCTCGCGCGCGGCCTTTTTCTGCTGCAGGAAACTGCCCTTCGATGACGAGCTGCCCTCCGCGCAGAACATCCTTGAATCTTTGATCGTCTCTCACCACCGTAGGGCCCGAACAACCCTCCGGACGCCTACTTTTCTCCTCGTCTTCGTCGTCGTCGTCCTCGTTCGCTGCTAACTAGAAGACATCTTCGAAGCATCCTCGTCAGCTGACGGGCATCTACCGAATCTCCCCGCTCTTCACTCCTACTCAGGAAGATATCACAGTGGCGGCTTTGGAATTACGCGGCACCCTTTCCACAAATATTAATGTATACTCCGATATATATATATATATATATCCCAGCAAACACCGATATATAATTGTCACATTGCTATAATAAAACGGAATATAACAGGTAATATAACGTGTACGTTACATGTAACATCCATGTTAGTTGTAATTTCCTACTCATAGATGTAACATTTTAATATAACATATATTACATTGTAGTTATATTGTAATTATATACCAAATAGCACATTAATGTATTGATAAGTCAGTGCTATCTTGGGATATAATAACAATATAACTACAATGTAATGTAATATTAAAAATGTTACATCTATGAGTGGGAAATTACAACTAACATATACGTTACATGTAACATGCTTGAGTATATAACATTTATATATTGTGTTTGCTGGGATATATATATATATATATATATATATATATATATATATATGTGTATATATCCTCCTTGAGGTATCTAATCAGCTCTGTTAAATATTTATACAAGTCCCTCTTCTCTTTGTAAAAGATTAGTCTTGAAACAATAACGAAAAGGTCAAAGAACTCAAAATCAATTTAGATAAATCAGAAATTCAACATAATTGTTATAATAATTATAGTTTAAAAAATTTTCTTCATCAACAAATGGATAAAGAGAAAATCTTGGGACTGTATATTTATACAATTTGCAATATACATATATATATTTTTGTATGTATATGTGTATCGTAAATTCTGCAAAATCAATCTTTTATAAAAAAAAAAACTTAGATTTTAAATTTATTTATACTACATACATAAAACGCGCGCAGAAACAAGAGATTTCTCTTTAATAAAAATAATATATATAATTATATAAAAACGCTTAGAAAAATCAGCGTTTTCCAAAAAGCTAAATGTAAATACAAAATAATTTCCAACAAATATATATAATTATATATAAAGATTTTATTTACAAATTACTTATTAATTGTGTCTCTCGTTTCTGATCTACGTATCGTTCTTATATTCATAAAAGGAAGCTGTAGTAGACCTAGTTGTATCCAATCTATATATATACTTTTATTCCTCGTTCGATCGCTCGAAGTGTGCCTCGAGTTCTGCGTCAATGTAGTTCGAGTTATCGCGCATCTGCCGCGTATCCTCGACATCCCCCACTCGAGGCGCATGTGGATGTGGACCAGCGCCAGCGGTCAGTGTGCGCGTTGACGCGCGCGTGTGTACAACAACGTTGTTTGTCTCTCGACGCGAGAGGAGTCGCGGAATTTCGAGCGTGGATCTTTCGTCCGCGTGTTTCGACGATTGCACGAGGTCGCGCGAAATTTCGCGAAACAAATTGATCCCGCGTGCGAGCGAAAAAGCGAATCCGTCGTCGTCGTCGTCGCCGACGTCGACGACGAACGCGGGATCGTCGACCGTGGGAAAAGTCGAAAATGTTCCCACGCTCCCGCTACGTTGCGAGTGTATGTCGCGCGTGCGTGTGAAATTCCAGAGGGAGGAGGAAACGTGGGAGAGCGAGGCGGCGGTGTAGGAGAGAAAGGGAAAAAGGAGGATGAGCGCCCAGGGGCAGGAGCACGGACACGCGGTGGTCGTGTGGGAGTGGGAGAACCGTCACGGACGATGGAGGCCCTACAGCCCTGCTGTGTCGCAGCATCTCGAGCGGGCCCATTACAAGAAACTCACAAGGGTGTTTCTCAATGATGCGGATCCCACCCTCGACAGGTCGCGAAAATTTATTATCTCGCGTATATATGCGTATGTATTCTGCGTGGCTGTCCGTAATTGCCCTGCCTTGCATTTTGCGTATTTAAGATGAGGCAGGTGTATGTTTGGGTCTCTTTGGGGAGAGAGAAAGAGAAAGCGCGAGAGAAAATAGAGATGCGGATCTTAAATGACGAAGATCATTTCAATTATATTTAATTATTATTTTTTATAATATTCATTCTTTGAATTGATTTTAATCATTTATTGATTATTCGTTATTTATCTATCTAATTTAAATTGTTCGAAAATATTTTATCGGAAAGTTTTCATCATACATACACATATATTTATAAGTATCTATATATTTATTGATTTATATTTATGTTTGATAAGAGAGAAAAAGAGATAATTATTCAATTTTAATAAGATTATAGAAATCTAAATTTGTGTTTATTCTGACAAAAGAAATATATATGATTAAAATATTTTTATTAGTGTAAGTAATATTTATTTTATGTAATTAATAACAATTTTAATCAATGATGTTAATTGTCAAAATCTGGCAAAAAATAAATGAGTTAAGCTATGCATTTTGTAATTTTATCTTTAAATTTTAAAATAATATAATAATTTGTTTGAAAATTAGGTATTACATAAATTTGAAGACTAAGACACAATGTAGCGATGATGGCGACGAAACATACAATGTAAGGAGAAAGTTTTATGTACCGGGCTCACCAGCTGGCAAAGGTGCCAAGTGGGAATGGACAGGCGATTCGGACGATTGGCATACTTATGATATGGAAGTCCAATGCCTTATAGAAGAAGCATGGGCAAGAGTAAGTAGAAGAATGCTACAATATAAATAATATCGCATTTGGGATTCTTAATTTTGAAATTTTTTTCCAGGGTGACAAGACCATCGACATTTCCAAAACTTACTTGGGGTTTCCCTACATCATCAACTTCTGCAATCTGACACAAGTGAGATGTTGTACGGGCTATGTGCGACCAATTAGACGTATACAACAAGCGCCTTATCCATTGGTCAAAGTTGCACTGGAGGAATTGCAAGTTTCTTCCGGGAGAAGATCCATGTCAGTCACAGTCAAGAATTCCACTGTCAAGGTTGCACATAAGAAATCATCTAACGGAAGCACCAAGAAGAGCAGCAAAAAAGTGAGTTCAGTCTTTTCACAATATTAATTATATGTTAGAATAATTTTACAACGAAATTCAATTTCAAAATTATTTTCAGGGCAAAAGCGGGGATACGAATGGGCCGACAAATATCGCGCGCGTTATTCTCAGCAATTTCAATATATTCAGCAGCAAACATGGTATCGAGAACAATCCTGCGACAACAAACATGGAGTCCGGTCAGAAGCGGAAGACGTGGGACACGGTGCTGGACGTCGACTCCAGTAGCACCAAGAGCGGTCGCAGGCCTAGCGTGGATACCGTTTCTACATATTTAAGTCACGAAAATCCGATAGATTTGCTAGATAGCAGCATGGGAAGCGATGACGCGTTCAAGGATTCTGGTCTTGGTATATATGTTTAAAAAAATATATGCTCGTTTATCTATATTTATTTAATGATTTCTGTAAATCTATATTATCTTTAGTAATAATATATATCAGTAATTTAATTAAATAGAATAATTATACATAAATTTATAAATTTAATTAATTAAATGATAGTATAATTATTTACACATTTCTCTGTAATTTTGTATTTAAATTTTAATATTTTCCAAATTTGTATCGTCATATTTGAATGTCACAGACCTGTCATTAATTTTATTAATTTTGCAGGGATGGATACGGGGTCGGACGTGATATCTCGATATGTAAAGGTAGTTGAAAGCGATGGATCCGATTCCTGTCCAGTATGCCTGGGTGCTCCAGAACCATTGACGGTCGAATTAACGCGATGCAGGCACAGATTACACTTGGCATGTCTGAATGCGATGCTTGGCTGCCAACAGCCACCCATGTATGTGCAGTGCCCGGTTTGCCGTATGATTTACGGCGAAAAAAGGGGCAATCAGCCACCAGGAATGATGAATTGGACGCGAATTCCGCGGGCGCTGCCAGGTTTTCCGAACACCAATACTATACAAATCACTTACGAGTAAGTATCAAATTTAATAACAGATAAATTATTCGTATAATTATTATTTTATTAAATATTATTTATTTTAAATTTATTTTAATACATTTTTTATTATTTATTAATATTTTTATAATTACTACATGAACATAATTAAAATAATTTGCATTTAAATCAATTTAAGGGAATAAAAAAAGACTCAATTAAATTAGGATTTAGACTAACAGAAAATCAATTTTTATCAATTCTAATCTTAATATTTTCTTAAGCATTCCATCCGGGATTCAGACTAACGAGCACCCGAATCCTGGTCAAGCGTATTACGCCGTGGGCTTTCCCAGGGTATGTTATTTGCCGGACAACACTCTTGGTCGTCGAGTATTAAGATTGTTGCAAATCGCCTTCGAGCGCAGGCTGATCTTTACGATCGGCCGATCGGTCACAACTGGTCGCGAAGACGTCGTTACATGGAACGAGATTCATCACAAAACCGAACTGGGCCCGTCCACATCCGGCCACGGTTATCCTGACCAGAGTTATCTTGAAAGGACGCTCGCAGAATTGGCAGCGCAAGGTGTGACTGATGGACAATCATCGCCGATATATCAACAGCTGCATTAATATTACGTATAAAAATAGATAATCTGTATGTATGCAAGAATAAGTTATTCTGTAAAAAAAATAACGTCAAAAAGAACTTTTATTTTAAATTTATATAAATTTATATATATAATTAATTTTGAATAAATATTGAGTTTAAAATATGTTAAATTATTAATATAGATATTGAAATTCATTAATTAAATAAGTTTAATTCAAATTAGAATTAAGCATAATTATTTAAAGAAAAAGATTTAATATTTTCAAAGCCTTGTTATTAACTTGTTTTTTTTTTTTTTTTTTTTTTTTTTTTAATTAGTTTTTTTATAGATTGACTTATTTTGCATAATATTATAGGAGAGAATATACATTACGCGCAATAAACATTAAGATTTTACTTAAAATCAACTTACGTCCTAGAAGCAAAGAGAAAGAAATATATTGAATTAGAAATGTATATTTTGAAACGTTGTACTTGATGTTTATTCCGTGCAAGGAACTGATAGATATATTCTAAAAAGCAAAGTCTTAGATTTTTATATGTATCTTTCCTATATATTCCAGAGAAAAGTATTTTATATCGCGATTAAAATGAAAGAAATCGCGCAGAATAAGGATATTAAATTTATTTGGTAGGTAGTTTTATATATATATATATATAGATACACACACACACCACACATATATATATATATACATACTTTTATAGAAAAATATATTTAATGTACCTTCCATGAAACTTGCCAAGAAATACTAATATTTTATAAGATATTTTAAGCAACGATTCGAAAAATGCAATTATAATGCAATGGCAAAACGATAATAGAGATTTAGAGAATAATACTCTTTTATTTACCTATCATATATTATACTATAATTGGTAATATAACTTAATCCTTAAAAAAGATAAAAATTAAAACATGTGACAATCGAAACGTCAAGTATATAAAGTTGTATTCACATATGTATAAGTTGACATACAAATTTAGATATTTAGATATTTTTTACTTACTTGACGTGTATGATGTACTTTTTTTGGAGAGTTGTTATTATTCTAAATTCTATGTTTAAAATAAAATACTGAAAGTTATGTTAATTGTATTTCAAATTATATATTTATAATTATTTGAAATTAGATTAAAAAATATGTTTTATTCATTAGAATTTTAATATCAATTATACAATATATCTCTCTCTCCCGTTAATATTTCTCTGAAGAATTTCATTAGTGTGAATTATTAAAATATTTAATTTCTAATCATACATATATATAGAATAATATAAAGGAAATCTCTTTTAGAGAGATCTCTTTAGAGAGATTCTGTTATTTCGAACAGCAAAGATTAAAAACCCTTTAATTATGATAAATTGTTTAAAATCGTGAGTTTTCTGAAAGCAAATTTATAATTTATATTTATATTGAGCGCGCATTAGAGATTAAGTTAAGTTAGATGGCGCATCTTTCAATACTACTAAAATGGCCGAAAATTGATTTTTTGTCGCGTCTCCTGAACACGATTATGTCTCGTGAAACGAGTTATTTTTTCACATGCAAATGAAATTGCAATGTAATAACAAAACCAACAGTCATGAATCATAATTCGGTGTTCGCCTTTCCACATTGAATGCGAGTTAATCTTAATTCGTTCCGAATTTTAGTGATTCGCGCGTTTGACGCTCTGACATTTTCCTGTATTTTTCGATGTTTTCTTCATTTTTATGGATTTGTGTATATTATAAAAATGAGTACCGAAGGCCAGCATAACTGCGTTCTGTGCGACTCGAAGTTAGGATCCAAAGAAGCACTGCAGGAACATTTTAGGTATACTTAGTTACCATAACCAAGTTGATTTCCTAAATCAGTTGTGAGTTGATTAGTTATAATTTTACGACGTTATATCGTAAGCATATAATCTTAAAGATTTTTTGGGAGGGACTAAAGAACGTTAGATGAAAAAAAATTCATGATAAGGATTTAATTCTTCGAGTCAAACATTGGACACACACATGTATATATATACACATATATTTTTTATTATTTTTACTAATTTATCTTTAATTAAACTACTTCTTTTATATTTTATGTGAATTTAGATTTCAAATTATATAATATACATGCATAATTATATAAAAAAGAAATAGGTAAATGTTACTTGATTAAGAGGCTTTTCAATAGATATATTTTATATTCTCTATCATATTTTATATAGGAAACATGCAAATAAAGAGATAGACACACGAGGGAAACCTGTAAAGAACTCTAAAAATGCTGATACTCAATGCGACATATGTGACAAATCATTTGATACAATAACTGCAACAATAAGACACAGATTTAAAATGCATCCTAATTCACCGACTAAATTTTATTGCTCTTATTGCGGAAAACAATTTCCTTTACGGGTAAATAATTTAATATTTTTGTTTCTCTTTATATAATTTTTGCAATAATTTTACAAAACTTCCATTATTCAGACTCATAGGGATAATCATCAACTTTCGCACGATTCGTCTGAAAGTAAAAAAATAGAGCAACACAAAAAATGTGTGGACTGTGATGTGGTATTTTACAACGAAAGAGCTCTGGATTATCATTATCGTTCCATTCATAAAAGGTAATGATTTATCAATTGGTTCATTTTGTAGAAATTCAACTATTATACAATTATTTATGCAATTATTAATTGATTGTTTTTTTCAGAATGGTATATTTATTTCAACCTATAGCCACTCCTCCACCTAGCAATAAAATCAAACTAAACTCTATGAACGATGCTCTAAGTGTATACTATTGTCATTTGTGTGGTGCTGAGTATGTTATAAAGTTCAATTTGCAACAGCATCTAGAGAAGGCGCATACTCGAGTAAGCAGAATAAATCACAACAAATATATATAAAATTACTTATAAATAATTTATTTTTAAATATACAAAAATAAATTAGAATTAATTAAAAGATAAAAATGATAATTTGTGAGGCACATATATGTTCTATATATGTTTCAAGATTGAAATATATTCTCTAATCTTGCAGGAGGAAAGAGAGACTGTGCCAGAGGATTTAATCAAGTGTACAGTGTGTTCGGCATTGTTTTATAACAAAAAGGCCTACAATGTTCACAATTCTTATCATCAGCCGAATGACTTATATGTAACTTCTGAACAACAGAGAGTGCAGACAGTCACTAAAGTTGATCAAGATTTTGATATTAGAAGAGTGGAAGCTGTAGCTGATAAATATATACCGCGACCTAAAAGACCGCTCAAGCACAGAACAAAGGTAAATTTTATTATCTTATTTTAGTAATAAGATATTTTAAAAATAATTTATTTTTAAAATAAGATATTAAAAATAAAAAGTTTAATATCTTATTTTTACTTTTCCATTTGTTGTTAATAAAATTTAATATATAATATAAATTGAATACAACATTAAATATGCAATATATATGTATATTGTAAATAAATTATAATTTAATACATGGTATATATATAAGGAATATTAAAGTATAAATTAAATTAAAAATAATATAATTTAATCATGATATAATAATTTAACTAATGTAAATTTAATATTTAAGTTAAATAAAACGCGGAAGACAGACACAGAGGGGACAAAGAGCGAGAGCTCTTCAGACGATCCTGCTGGTACCAACGAGTCCAGCGATTCAGAAAGCGATATTCCATTGGAACAACGAATCGCTAGCTAACAGAGGTTTCCTATTTAATCTTGAAAGATTTTGTATCCCGTTTCGAGGGAGCTTTGTTGTAAGAAATAAGTTTACTATTGCAATCCTGGTTATCAAGCTGATTTGTGAGTTTTTTTTTTTACAAATGTTATGCACATATGCGTGTAGCGATTTAGATATGTAATGGTAGAAAAAGACATGTGTATTCTCACATTCTACAAATCGCGTTCAGGAAACATGACAATTGCAATAATTAAATAATTATTGCAAGTAGCTAATTATGTATAATCTTAGCGCAACAATTTTATATATCCTTTTATACATTAATATAATAACTTATATCCTGAACGTGATTTAGTAATCTAATTTTTATTTTATTTCTCCATTACACAGCAATACTTTATTGTAAATATATTTTATATTTTCTTTTTATCTACCCAGGATCATACATTATACATGCGATTTATATCTCACACAAATTTTTGTGTAAAGAAAGATAGAAATATACATATACATCAATCGAAATTCCATCTCGAGTCGATTAGAAAATTTAATAATTTTCAAACATCGCGCCTTTCATCGTAGTCTCCGAGAATTCCCTAGATCCTCTAGAATCTTGAGACGCGCCACGTTGGCGACTTCCGCTGCGACGTACGGAAAAGATGCGGCGGCCATTTTACATTATCGGTGTTTCCCCGTGTGTGCGTGCGTGTGTACAGTGTGTGACTACCGAAATTCGCGGCGCGTATACTTGTTAATCGAGGCGACACGTAAGGATCGCTCGAGCGTCTCTTCGATTGTAATAAGTCACTCCGACAATCTCGCGGGAAGATGGGACGCAAGAAGAAGAAGCAATCGAGGCCCTGGTGTTGGTATCCTTTTTGCGTTTACCCAGGAAAGACGTCAACGACGACACTAACGACGGGACCAGCAGTACGCCTTTACGTAACCGTATTTTTAGATCCAACGACGTTAGCTACGCGATCGTACGACGAGGAATCGATTTCGCCCAACAGTGATCTCTAAATCGGCTTGATACCGATTCGCCCTGAAAAAATCTGGAGAAATTCATTCGACGAGGTGTCCATGGAAGGCGGGGAAATCGATACGCGATTTCCTCGCGCCACCGCGACACGCGTGTCTGTGTGTTTGTGTGTATGTGTATAGAAGAACGCAGCTGTTTTCTTCTCGTCGTCATTGCGTATATACATGCGGCGCGTTATTACATGATGATGTAACGAAACTTGCCGTCCAAGGGCTTCCGTACACGAAAGCGGATCAATTGGATCGATTTGAAATCTGTTTTGTAAAGTTAGAAATCATTCCTAAACCTTTGACCTCTCTGATCTTCAACATTTGTCTTTCAGTTCTAGATATTTCCAAATCGAGTGATTAATAATATCTTGGAATTTTGATTAAAACTTCTTTATAAAAATTTATAAAATTGTTTTTCAATGATGAAAATGTTATGAAATAAATATAAGGATTTTATAAATAAGTAGCTGAATCACAATTGTTTTGTAAAATTACAAATAATTCTTATACTTTGGGCATTTGAGCTTCAAAATTTTTCTTTCAGTTATCCAATTGTCTATTTAGATATTTTCAAATAAGTGATTATTAAAAATATCGAACTAAATATAAGGGTTTTATAACTAAGTAGCTCAGTAAAATTTAAATCTTACTGATTCAGCAAAACAATTGTTTTGTAAAATTATAAATGTACCTATGAATTTTTATAAGCGAGAAATTTAAGAATGTAAATTTCTTCATTAACGTGACTCGCATGTATTTAATCAATAATTTATGAATTTAATTATCCTTGACATGCAAATAGTTGCATTGAAAAAAATGATTTGCATTTTATTTTGTGTTTTTGAAATCAAGAACTAATTTTAAGTTATTTATCTAGTCTGTTTGAATTATGAATAACAATTAGAAATTTAAAGAGGATAATTATATATATATATATATATATATATAATTTTATTTACAGTAATTTATAACTTGAATTAAACAGTATATAAATCTTCTGAATTATTCCATAAATTTTTTAAAGCAATATTTTGATTTGAAAGATTACAGATTTCAAAGAAATCCAATTTTATGACACAAATATTAATTTTTTAAATTTATTCTCTTAATATATTTCATCATATTTCTATTTTTCTATATATAAATCACCTAATATTCTTACAGGTTTATTACTAATAATATCACTTTTATACGTTTGACAGATTTGACTTAATTATACATAGGCTATTATATGTAAACAATTTTCTATGATTTCCTTAATCCACTGTAAAAAAAGGTATTGCAATCGCGAATTTGAAGATGAGAAGATTCTTATTCAACATCAAAAGGCAAAACACTTTAAATGTCATATCTGTCACAAGAAACTATATACGGGACCAGGGCTTAGTATACACTGCATGCAGGTAAATATAACTATATATATTACGTTATTACCAATATCTATTTTTGTTTAAATACATCTTTTATATTCTTCTTCTCTTTAATGTTTAATTAATAATTATTTATTTTATTTTGAATACACAAAAATAAACGATTAAAAGGAATAAATTTTATGTTCTACTAGTTTAATATTATTTTAAGACTGACACGATTCTCTCTTCTCTTTGCAGGTTCATAAAGAGGCAATCGACAAGGTACCCAATTCATTGCCAAATCGTAGCAATATTGAGATAGAAATTTATGGAATGGAAGGCATACCGCCAAATGACGCAAAGGAACATGAGAGGCAACGAAACGGTGGTAGACCAGGCACACCATCGTCCGGTGAGGATGAACCCGTACAGAAGAAAGCGAAACCGGAAGGTCTGCTGGGTTCCGCACCAGGTGCGATGGCCGGTATGGCAACTGGATTACCTGGAATGCCGCCGCAACCTGGTATGCCACCATTGCCTGGTATGGCGCCACATCCTGGCATGGCACCGCATCCTGGCATGCCACCGCATCCCGGTATGCCTCCTATGCATCCTATGATGCAGATGGGCCATGTAGGACCTCCGTTTATGGGCCCAGGGTATGTATTTTTATTGTATTATCGATTAAAAGAAATTTTGTCTATTAAGTGTATATTTTATTGTAAATTAAAATAACTATATTAATTTTTTTAATTATTAATTTCTCTAATAATTAATATATATAACGAAATACAATACAAAATTAATATATATAATACATAATATAATCCAAATTAATATATATATAACTAATATAATTTATATCACATATTTAGATATTTAATTATAAGAGCGATTAATTTTTATAATCTTTAACACATGTTTTTTTATTAAAATAAATTCTTAAACTTTTTTATACTCAATTTATATTTCTCTTTCTAGCATGATGCCTGGCATGTCGGGCATGCCTTCTGGTATGCAACCGCCAGTTTCGGGTGCATCAATGCCGCCGTCGCGCCCACTGTTCCCTAGTGCTGCTGTATCAACAGTGGCATCGACGGCTGCGTCGGTCGCCGGTTCCGCACCTCTGGGCACGGACTTTAAGCCGATCACATCTGTGGCCAGCGGTGGCGGTTCTATAGGGCCGGTGAAGCCGACATTCCCCGCTTACAGTAGCGCCAGCGAAACTGTCGGCGTTTCCGGAGCAAACAGCCTCTCTGGTGGCGATCAAAAAGTAAATCTTATCGCAACTACCGGAGCCGCCAGTAAAATCATTCACCCTCCGGAGGATCTCAGTTTAGTGAGTTTTTATCTTTATTTCTCACTTCTTATTTTCAATTATCGATTCTGTTTTTCTAATTGTAATCCATGTCATTCTAAAATAACATATGCTAGAATCTACCATCTTTAATTTGATAAAAATTTTGTAACACGATGCAGAGCAAATTTTAAATGATTTTGTTTCGTAGGAGGAGATTAGGGCAAGGCTGCCTAAGTATCAACGTCGACAGAACGATGAGTCCGGACGGTCGGCGCAATCGGAGGCAGCTGCGGCTGCGGTTGCGGCGGCGGCTGCAGCAGCAGCTGCGGCAAGTCAGCAACAGCAAGCCGTCGCGTTGCAACAAGCGGCAGTGCAGCAGCAGCAAGCAGTGCAACAGCAACAACAACAAGTGCAACAACAGCAGCAACAGGCGGCTAACGTGGCAGCGGCCGCGTTTCAAGCGGATCAACAGCAGCGACAGCAACAGGCGGCATTGAACGCGCTGCAGCAACAGCAACAGAGGTTCCCGCGACCGCCGCAGGCTGTTATGGTGCCGGCCTCGGCGGCGGCGATGCCGGTCAGTTCTGTTGCGCTGATGGCGCCTTTAATGCGACCCACCATGACCCTGGCCGCGCCTGCTCTCATTCATGGAGGTAACATGATGCGACCGCCCCCCATGGGCCTGCCACCAGGTAAGTCTCTGCGGGTTTGAGCTCTGCAAAAAAAACTTTACTCCCTCTCTCCTCTTTTCCCTCTCCTTTCTGTAAAACCAAGATGCCGTATTGTCTTTTTTATTATTCCCTCTTATTGTTGAAATATTTCGAAATTTTTCCCTTAGTACTTTTTATCAATTTTTTTCCCCAATTGTCCTCCCCCTTACCGGCCGTTGCAGACAGTAACGGTTAATCGATGTACGTGGATAAATTTGATCAATGATTATCTTTTTACCGTGAAGAGCTTCAGATAAAACATTTTGAATAGTCTTGTGTTGCTTTCCGATTCCGAAAGCAATCTGTAGGAATGTTCTCTTGAACCTCTCTTGCTTCGAGGACACATATATATCTGTAATATAATATCAATTTGTTAAAGTAGAAGAAAAATAGCATTTCCGATGGAGTATTTCATTTTGACGGCGATTCTAAGTCAATTAATTCTAAACGTGTCTATATACTATCTCGTACAGGGAGTAAATATTTTTCAAGCAATGATTCAAGTTTTCTCTATCGTTATTTTAATTTTATGGATTTACGATTCCATCGAGAATGCACAATGCACTGTGTCCTTACATTTTGTTTCTGTAAACACAATCCTCACATTTATCATCCTTACCCGATTCTACTCGGTCGACAACCAAAGGAAAAATTGTTTCTGTTTACGTGAAAAGCAAATAAGTCCAATATCAAAGATTAATTTGACATACTTTAGTTAAATTTAGCTCTGCATTACAGTGCAATATTTACTCCAATGATTCATATATGTAGCCACATATATATTTTTTGAATATAACAATTATATGCTTAAAGAAATAAAGATAGCAAGTGCGATGGGACAGATGAATAAGAAACAGACTGGACATTTGATGGGGGGAAGGGATCAAAAATGTTGACAAGGTGCACGAAATTGCGAATATTACTACTGACTCGAGACAGCAAAGAGAAAGAGAGGCGATAAGAATGTCACATGACTATTCAGATAGAGGTGTATAGATCACGCTCAAGATTCTCTCGACCGAATGATACGCCACAGAATCTCGACGACACAACGTCTTGTAGTCCTTGTGCGTTTATACGTTTTAACGGTGCGTTTGCAGGGCGCCCGGTCACTCCTCGGTGAGTGTCGAACGAACCCAGTCTGGTTACTAAAACCGTGTTTTACAATACAAGCGCTACAAGGTTGGTCCTTAGCAATTAGCATGCGGTGACATGGCCTATATATCTATATACATATATATATCTATATATCTTGTTATATTTATTATTATTATTCTTACATTGTTGATTAATCTTGTCATCATTGTCATTAATACACCTTACATATGTATACTTATATATGCGTACTTATATACGTATAATATATCTACAGTGGCACGAAAGCGCGAACTTTCAACGGCGATTTTAGGTCGTAGAAAGCTGTTTGAGCAGCTTTCGCAAGCCATCGTATATATATTTCTGTATATTCGTAATATTATCACTGGACGAGAGTGGGTCGAGCGGCCAACGACACTTCCTTCTGGATTCCAACTTTTTCGTCTAATTTGCCAGAATTTTTTATTTTGCACACGCATCCCGACCTGAAAATGCGTCCTCTCTGGAGATTAAAGTAACGAGAAAGATTTTGATAAAATATACCTACAGAATTTTTTTTATCGATCTCTAATGAGCGGTCGCTCTCTCTCTCTCTCTCTCTCTCTATCTCTCTATCTCTATATATATATTTCTCTCTCTCTCTCTTTCTCTTTCTTCTCTCTCTCTCTCTTTGTTTTCATTGGGATGCATCTACCCTTGCACATTATTAAATTAATGTTATTTTTATTGATACTTTTCGTAATGATTCTCTTCTCGTGTCTATAATTTCGCAATTTTATACACATTTTTTTTCCTTTATCTTTGTATATTCTGTACAATTTCTAGTACAGTTCATTGACTAGAGAACAAGAGAAAGAGATATTTCCGGCCGCTCGACCGTTACATTATTTTTACATCATGTATGATTTCTTTGTTTTTCCTTTACGTTCTCATAAGCTTCTTTCTTCACACTCTCTCGATTTAACCATGTTACTTCTTCTTACGACTCACATACGCCATTATTTACCTCGCCAGCAGCCGTGTTACCATCCTGTCTCTCTTTTCAGTATATTACTTATATATTATATATATAGCTTGGAATCCTGGTGTTGTGATATAGTAGTGAAGAAACTGCTTCTTTGGGCACGGTACTGACAGTCGTTCGAAGTTGTCGTTCCAAAGAAAAAAAAAGATAGAGAAAAGAAACAAATGATATAAATTATTTTCTCTCACGATTTGTCCCTTCCTTCTTCACATTCGATTGATGATCATCCTAAAGTAATTATTGTGATCACTGAGTGAGATTATTATAATTTTCGATTTATTTTTCGCTGCTACGCAGAATGTTGCCGATCTATCGAGCCACTTTTTTATCTTTTAAATTTTTTGATTAATTCGAAATTATTTTTTCATAACGCAAAAAAGCAGTAATCTTAAGTATTTTGAATAAACAAGACTAAACGTCTTCTCTTTTCTCGAAAAGAATTTTTTTATTTGAAAATTAGTTGTCGAATATTTTTTAATGTAAGAAAAAATTATTTGTGAAATAAAAATCATGCATGATAAATAATTATTTTTACTTTATATATGGAAAAATTAATTTTCAAATCGCTCGAGGGACAAGTACATATGAAAGGTGGATCGCAAGATCTGGGATACTGAAAACTGAAACAAGATACAATAAATTAAGACAATAATGGAGTTGAAGAGGGAAGGGATCGAATGATATTCTCACCGTGCTCTTCGGTGCATTTTATTTTATTTTTGTTCTCATGGAAAACGCGAGAAACTAGCAACGAGAACGAACGTAACGTATCTCCCTCACACCATAGCCTAGCTTTTGTGTTACACAATCAAAAGATTTTAGATAAATTGAGCCAAACAAAACAGTAAGTAAAAGACTTCACGTTATCTAATATATCTATAATAACTCTTGCGCTCAACCGAGGGTCCACACGATTAACATATTTTTCTCTTTATTATGTTACGCGGCACAAATCAAAATAATCATGTAATGAAAGAGAGAGCGAAAAAAAACATCGCTTCTTGTGTTGAGCAATTTATTAATTTTATTGACTTATTTCCGCGCGTTATTATTTTATACTCGATTGTTGTTGCAAAACTGCTGTAAAGTTAAAGGAATCTTTGAACATGAAACGCGTTTTTGGAACGACGCGTCTTGGAAGATCGGCTGACAGCTGAACGATCTCTGCGGGGCTTCCAAATAATATAATACGATATTGACGAAATATCGATTGCGTGTACCCAAGCGAGACTCGTTCTTTGTATGGTGTGAGGTTTTCTTTGTGTGGTACCACCTTGTCAGTTTTGTTTGTGACTTGTATTGCGTATGCGGCGCACTGCATGCTGAGCTGAGTTCTTCGTATATATATACCTATATCGTATACATATATCTAGTTTGAAGATTCGCATTTAATCAGAGATTGCTGGGTAGTACGTAGCACATGGACTGTCATGAGCAAATTTCGTATTCGGGTACGTGACATATTTACTTAGAGAGAATAACGAAAGATTCGTCATCTCACACAGAAGCGCACTTTTGCTTAGAAATCGAAAATTCTTCTTCGATCGACTAATACTTATCTCGGTGAAATAGATTGCTGAAAAGTGCTCTTCGATCGAATAGTCGATCGAAGAAAATTAACCGAATAACATCTCGCGAACACTTAATCTGATATATTTCTTCCGGTGGAGGAATCGTTCGGCTGTCAGATCATTTCTTCTTCAGCGAAACATGAGTCTGAATCATGGCAACTTTGAATCTGAATATAATTGTCAATTGAATCAAGAGATATAAATTACAGTTAAAAAGCTAATTATCTTTTTAAAAATTTAATAATTTTGACAAAATATTAAAATATTTTGTGTGTGCGCGAAGAGAATTTTCTCTTTACTCTGAAAATTATGGTAATTATAGGACGATATAGTATTGGAAAAATTTTATAAGAGCTTCTCTGATTAATATTTACCACAATAAATAATATTAACATGTATATAGTAAAATTAATCGAACATATAATATTTTATATCTTATTATGATAGATATTAATATTTTTTATTGTGATAAATATTAATAAACTCATTCCGATATCATATTGTTCCACGATTGCCATGATTTTTAGAATAAATTTTAAGAGAAAATTCTCTCTGCGTATAATAAATTTTTATCAAATTTTTAAAGAGGATGTATTGTTTTGTCGGAATTTTTAATTACATATTAATCAATCATGAATACATATGAAACTTTTATCTTGTAGAAGTTTTTTTATATTGCGTATCAATGATTTTTATATACATATTTACTTCGAAGTACTTTGTGATTTTTCCAAGATACTTTTAGATTTCAAAATTTGGATTTAAAGATTAAAATAAAAATTAAAACTGCGCTCCTAAAAACTTGTTTCACACAGATAATTTAATCCAACAGTGATTTAATCGAAAAAAAATTAATCTTGATAACCAAAATATACTTTTGATATTAAAATCAATTTTCACTTAAAAATAGCTTTAATTTTCAATTTTTATCTAAACTGTGTGGGTAAAAATTATTTCCTTTAAATCATAAGAAATCTTTCGATTCAAGATGCCATGGCTTATTTTACGCTGAAGGACACGTAGTTCTCCAAAAACGAACAATACAATACAGTAATAAAAGTTACAAAAAAAAAAAATACAAAATATTAAAATTGCGCATTAACACAATATATGCAGGATTTATTATTTTTTTTTAATAACACGAATAGTTGTGACGTAAGTATATCGGGGACCCCGAACACCAAAAGAGAGCGAGAGAAAGACAGAAAGTGATCCTGCGATGGATCTCGCGAATGTTGCGACGCCGTTTCGCGCGGTGTCAAGAATCGGATAATGAAAAGAATCACGTGTCTAGAGCACGTGGGCGACGTACTTTTTCTTTTTTTCCCTCCACAAATACTCGGTCGCGGAACGAACTAATCTGACACTGCGTTACTTTACAGGCATGATAGGAGCATTACCACCAGGCGCCGCGATGCATCCGGCCTTTGCCGCCGCGCCGATGGGTTTTCCCGGGCCGATGTTGGCGCCGATGATGCATCCGCGCTTCAGATGATCGCCCCCTATGGACGGGCCCAACCCGCCGCCGCTGCACTTCGTGCTGTGGGCCCGCCCCTAATTTTCGTAGGGTCTGGACCTGATTGATGAGGAAGGGATAGACAAAATCACACATACACGAACCAGAAAGGGAGAAAGAGAGAGAGAGAGAGAGAGAGAGAGAGAGAAAAAACGGGAAATTTACACCGTAAAACTTGCACTCTCTCACAGTTTTTTTTTATTTTATTTTATTTTATTGTTGAATGAAACAAAACGATAGAGGGAGAAAAAAGAAAGAATGAAATAGAGAGAGAGAGAGGAGAGAGAGATAGGAACACGTATGTCATCGGTGCCTGAGAGGATTCTTTCGAAGAAATCGAATGCGCGTTGGAAACGGTCGGCTTTTTCATCGCCTTCTTCTTCTTTTTATGCTACTACAAAAAAACAAAAAAAGAGAAATACAAACACGAAATACACTAATTGTTTGCATCTACTGCGAATATGTGCGCGTCACGCTGCGTTGGTCGTAAGTGTCAGGTGAGCCAACAAGTATGAGCAAATTTCATCGCCGTTTTTTCTACGGAATGAAACTAAAATAATACTCGTCGCTCTGTAATAATACATCGTCGTTCGCGCTGCGTGAAAACGCCAGTGCGAATCGACTATCTTATCTATTTACCCCACGCAATTTTTTTTTGAACAATTATTATATCGCGTTGCTGAGGTCCACTGAGAGATTGCGTTTCTCATTTTTGTCGCGACGACAATGTCATTTGCGGCACGCAGTTACGTTCCTCTCCGCTCCTCCTTCAGAAAGGGTCGATCAGTCGGATAATTCAAGAATTCGATGCAAAATTTGAGTGAGTAACTTCTATCAATTTGTAGTCACTTTAAATAGAAAATGATTCAAAATAATTTATAAATATGTATTAATTATATTTAAGTTATATAAAATTATATTACATTTATATTATAAATTATATTATATATTATATAATTTTATATTATATATTATAATTTATATTATATCATAAATATATATATGGATTTGTCATCAGCAACGAATTCTTCAATTGACAGCGAGGTAATTATGATATTGCAGGACAATTTCAATGATAAAAATAAGTTCTCACTAATTGAGTCAATAATAATCTTAATTTAATTTTTTTTCCAAGTGTGTTTATATAAAATATGAAACAATATCTCGTATTTTATATTTATCTCATATTTAATGACAGTCACAAGATATAACTTATGAAGACGCATTCAAAATGTCAGATTAGACATTTAATTAAAAAAAAATATATAGAAGAATGAAGAGACTTATTTTAATACAAAATCTATATGAAATTTATCTTTTAGACATATATATTGTTATTGAGATATTATTTATTAAGAATAATATTATTATTGATATTAGTTATGGTCTTTAAAAAATTCTCTAAGCAGAAATTCATAAGAACGAATTTTATCGTTGAAAAAAATCCGATAAAATCACATTTGCCCCGTAGTGTCATCGAATTAATGATCGACTCTGTATTTTTCGGGAAGTGAATATACTTTCGACAATGACAAAGTGCCCCGCTTAGACAGAGACAGAAATTTTCTCCCTCTTCCTTCTTTTTCGCGCAGTAGACCGTTTCCATCGCGTGCTATTCTCCTCAGCCTTTGTGCATCTGCAATGTTCTTTTGGAGAGCACTTCACGCTGCAGCTGAATGACAAGTTATTTTGACTGAATAGAGTTTTTGAGACGAATCGATCTCAAGATTGTTCCGTTTCGTAATATATAAGACATTTTTTTCTTACTACTTTAAATAAAAATCCAGAGCGATCGAGGATGCATAAACTTTTGAAAAGATGAAGATTTGTTTTTTGAGTAGACTTTTTTAAATTAAAAAAATTATATCGAGAAGTCTTCGAAAGTTTAAAACTTTTGGGAAAAATATAACGATAAAATGAATAGTAGATTTTTCCCATGAAAAGTAGTTTTCTCGAAAAACTTGCAGATGATCAATGGATTTTATTTTAGTTGTATAAATTATTTCATTTTCTCTTTTATTTTTTAAATTTTAGATCAATCCGATTCGAAAAAGAGATCGAGTGTACATACGTATATTTAAAGTATACTAGCCGCAGTGTGAAGATTCGTTCGCCTCAGTTCATCACAAATTTTATTTTGTTCATACCCCGAGTCGAGTCGATGCAGTTTAGCAACGCATTGCAAAGTCACGCGAGAAATATAAAAAAGAAATGTAATGAAAAAGTTGATTTATGAATTAACAAAATTAGTATTTTAGGAATAAATTTTTAAGTTATAAATATTGAAAAAATGTTTATAGATATAAATTTATAAAATTTTAATTTCAAAAATAAAGCAAAGTAAGATTCCAAGATTTATTTTGACGCGATAAATTTAAATTTAAAAAATGTATAGTGAAATAATCAAATTAATTTATATAAAGGAGGATTAAATTATTATATATTTGTAAATTTTTAAGAATAAAAATTTTGCGAATAAATTGCAAGATTAATCGACTCGGCTCAAGAGAAGTCCCTTGTCCCTTTGCCAAAGGAACAATGTTGGCGACGTTTGAGTGAGTGGTAAGTACGAAAGAGGATGTTAAAAAGTTAACACTGTTAACGAAATTGAACACCAGCTCTTTGCACTCTAGACTCGTTTTCTTCATTCTTTCCTTCCTACGTCTCGTCGATCGTAGAGCGTACGATCTCAGAAGATTTTCTATTTCGCGCAATCCATTTCTACCATTCTCTGAGAGATCTTTCCTGCTACTGTGTCATTCCGTCTATAAATATTTGAGCAACTTGTGGATTGTTGGTAGTATAGCGTTTTGATATCGCACTGTGTCAATTTGCTCTACGATCAGACACGCTCTCGATTTTTTCTGTTCTCTGTACGAGACTTTTAACGGACTGTCCTATCTTCAATTTTTGGCACTTCCCGAATTTCTTTTATTTATCTCTCGTCCACTTAACATCTCTATCTACTGTATACCTTCTATATCCTATCTCTATTGTACTACGCTCTTATAAATCTCTATTCAGGGTGTCTATTGATATTGTTACTATCAGACTATCTGTTTTACGTCTACTATAGTTTCTGTCGTTAGGTCCACCTGTAAGACGCTGTTCCTAGAAGCTAAGAGCTTGTCCTGACTTTTAATGTAGTCAGTTGAAAGTAATTGTGTGTCGTTTTAATGGAGCAGCTAAAGTCGATTGTATTGTTCCATCTCTGTCGATTCGAACTATGTCAGTTAATTTAAACTCTAGCTCTTAGATCATTATTTGTTTCTTTTAGAAATTAGCATAGAACGGGAAAATGAATCGAATTGAGATACAAAAAGATTGATTGGCATCGGCGAAATCGGCTACGTGTCGATTTATCCGGTTTCACGGGTGTCGATTAATTTTCGCTTTTAGTTTTCGAATGAATTGGTTGCCTCTTTCTTCCAGATCTAGAAAGAGAGAAAAAGATCAGAATTAATCAATATTAGCAAAATTCGGACTCTAAGTGTTACTTTACGAAGTCGGTTGACTTTCGTTCTAGTTCGATCGATTGGGATAAAAAAAAAAAGGACGAGAAAAAAATCGATCGAATTGGGATTAAAATTAATGATAGACAGGTCGTCCGTATATGTGATGATACGTTATTTACGTCGTTATTGTTCTCGAGGTGTGTGTGGTTAGCGCGGTGACGAAAGGATCGATTGCTTGCTTCCTATATTGTTGTCTTCAGTAGGCACCCTGCTGCTGGTTTCCGTTCTTTCGACCACCACTCTCGCCCGCTACCATCTACATCCGTGGTACCATCTACCACCGACATCTTCTCGACAAACAAAAACACGAAAGAAAAAGAAAAGAAAAAAAAGAAACAAAATGAAAATGAAAACAGCATTGAAAGAGCGCGCCGTACAACACGTGTACGTACCTACATTAAATGATCTACGCATCGTTATTATAATTCCTTTATTTTTCAGGGGTTGTCTTTCCGAATCTCCTCCGCGAACACTCCGTTACTTTACTCTCTCGCAATTACAGCGCTTCGTTCACGTCTCTTCCGAGGGATCCAAGGATCGTTGACGCTCAAGGAAACACACAAGTAAAGTCAAAAAATTTTTAAATTTTCCGAAAAGAACGATTTCTCTGTTTTTTCAATTGCCTGATTACATATATAATATTCGGATTCTCAAAAAAAGAAAAAATCAAAGAGTTATTGATTAATCGACTCACCGAAAGAACAATCGAGCTGGAGCATCGATCGCGCGATTTTCTGTTGAAAAAGTGAGGAAAAAATTAATTGTTTTGTATAAAATTTGGAAATTTTAATTTAAAAAAAAAATTTTTTTGTTTAAAAATGTTAATTTTTTTCAAGACAATTTGATTAAACGGCGTCGATAATTGCGTGATCGAAACTCCGGAAGTTTTTTTTCTTTTTTTATACTCGTGACAAGAGAGAAGCATGTTTCACGCGGAACCTCGCATTCGGCGATTCGGCAGGACAATCTGACGGCAGAATTTGGAGATGTAGAAGTTCTGTTATTTATTGAGTGTCATATTATCGACTTGTTCCGAATAAAGACGTTCTGTGGAAAGTTCGACAGTTTTGGGCATAGTCTGCTGTTCTGGGATATGTTATCGAAGCGATTTCACAATCATATATTTTGTCTACAATTTTGTGTTTTCGATGATAAAGTCTCGATAACATTTTTTTCTTTTTTCAATTTTTTATAATTTAAATTATAATATTTTGATATCTAAATATATTAAAAAAATATATGTTTATAACATTATAAATATATATTATTATTTAATATATAAATAATATATTATAATTTTTAAATAATTGTATGCTTGGATGTACGTACAAGTATACGCACATTCCTATATATGTAGACATATATTAATCTGATTCTCGGACAAACAATGCAATTAAACTCGAATGTCATCGCTGGGATCGTATCCCAGAATTGCGGGCGACAGCCACATATTGTTTCAACCAATCACAGCAATCTCATCGCTGTTGGACCTAATCGGTCCCTTGCCTCAAGGCAGGCGATTGTTTGGACCTACCGTCCTTAGAGTCGAGAAGTCGCGATCTCCCAATTTTCTCTCATCCGAGTCGAAACAATGAAAGGGAAAACGAATAAATTATCGTCTGATATTTTTAGCTTTTAATTTTGAAGTTTAAGTAATGATTGAAAAAAGAGCACAGAAATAAAAATCGCGTTACAAATATAATTTTATATAATAAAAACGTAGATATTTGAAAATCGCCAGACAGAATTTAAAAAAAAAAAAAGGTAAGAATCTTCTCTCGACCGTACTGGCAAATATTATTTATTCAATCACAACGTTTCGACCCTTCTTTGAGTCCTTATCAAGTGATTTGTAAAAATAAAAATAAAATTATAATTTTAAGATGTCAAGAACGAACATAGTGTCGGTTTGACAACACGTCAAGACTCTTAGACGAGTTATTAGAGACTGAGGGGTGAGTTGACTCAATATTCCTGGTAACATCTCAGTTATCTGTTTATTTTCTCCATGGCCAGTGATGGTAAATGTGTTAGCAGACAGACTGGCCTGAGCTTTTGGATTATTAAAGTGAATGACTGTTCCGTCATCTTTGATCATATTAACTTCTTCTATGCCTGGGATT